CCATGTCGGGAGATACACCTCCAGGATTTCCCTCGACCCAGTTTTGTTTTTATCTGAGCCAGCAGCAATCTGTTTCAGTTCATTACAGGCTAATTGAAACAATGGCATCCGCACATGCGCAGACCAACTGACTTGTCTCCCTGCCAACGCAAACAGATCACGCCTTTGATCCCGCCAGCAGTGACACAATACACACGGGTGTTATCTGAGACTTGTGGCCCACTTTTCACTCAAACCCCGGGCTTGGTTATCCGTCAGAACTACGACGTCTTGCACCGCCAAAGTCAGAAGCACCGTCTTTGGATATTTTTTTTTAAAAGCTTTCTCTTTTCTTTGTCGTTGAGTCAAGTAAATAAAAATGTATGATTAGTTAGCATTCCCCACTACACGGTGGTGGCCTCAGCTTGTGGTGTCAAGGAAGACACAAACAAAACAAACAAACAAAAAATTTAAAAAAGCAACTACCTTAAAAAAGTTAATTTCACTCAGTATTCAAAACAGAAGTGACTTTTCTTGTTTTCGTTTGAAATTCCTACCGTGTCCAGGCTTAAAACTGACTTTAATTATTTTGAACAAGTTAATTCAATGAGGCTTCCATGAAATATTTCATTTCACGTACCGCGAAAATTATTTTAAAAATCAACTCCGAGGACAAGCATTTCTCAAAATCATTTGAAACAAGAGGAGGGGCAATTTGTGGTGTACGCGCGCCGTCACAAGTGCACACTGCACCACACATTAACGGGTGTTTGCGTAGATATATTGAATCTTTTTTTTTGTGAGGTTCAAACGTCTATGTTTCTGAGTAATAGGCAAAATAGCACAGGGAGCGAGTCCATAGTGATGTGAGTTAACATAAGAGACATTGGCAGAGCTGCAACACATGGACTTGAAAGGAGAGAGATCTTTGACGATCTTATACCCGCCTAGTGGCGCTGTATGATAATGCTGATATATTCTTTGATTTTAACATTACATTTTAAGGGGAAAAAATGTCCACTTGATACAAAGTATACCATAAATCAGTCTATTATGAATTGATAAAAAAAATATTCACTTCGTATTAAAAGTTCACATAGAATAAATAAAAAGAGGAAACGCGCAACAAGAGAAACAGCGTGTTATGATGTCGGTGAGCCGAGACGGCCGTTATCCGACCACTAACCCAAGTCGTGTTCCACACTCTTATTGGTAGGTTTACATAAAGGTGCATTAGATATATCCATTACGGCACTAAGTTCTTGCACAAACACATCCGAGCGAGTTAAAATGGGAAAAAAAATTATTCAGCTTTTCGCCACCATATCTCCCTATGGTCTGAATCAAATACTCTCTTACTAATGTTTCTTAATTTCCCTGTGTTTCTTCTTTTTTTTCTCATTATTCCTTAGATTTTATGTATCCCTAAGTATATTGTTCCGTTAAGATTCTCCACCTTATTTTTCACAGTACCCATATTTATATTCTTTCACATCCTGTAATATTACTTCAGGCAACAAATGGAAATCTCTAAAGTTTTTTTTACAGTTCTCTGTTACTTGTCATACTTCTTTCTGTCTTGTTTGCCGAAGAAGGCTCTAGGCCGAAACGTCCAAATGCTATTGTCCTGTCTATTAATTCAAGTTAAACATACCTTGTTCTTCTATTTCATGTACATAACTTGAATGCAGTACATGAATTAGTGTCTTTTGTTTAAAAAGATAATTGGATTCTACTATAAGCGACACCGTTTTAACAAAAGAAATATTTAAAAAAATTAAGTTTAGCGCGATATAAAAAAAATGAGGCATCAGCAAATGATTTACCAGGCCTTGAAACTCAAGGACGACGACAGGGTATGACACGGCCCGTATTGACTTAATGATAATCTAGACCTGGGAGGGAAAAGGGGGGGGGGGGGGGGGGGGTGGGGTGAAAAGTTATGCCTTATCAGTTTTATCTTTGGCCTTGCCTTTGGTCGGTCTGACCTTTAAAGAAAAAAAACACAACCAATAATTTGATGTCCAAAATCACGATGTAATTTTATTTTTGTGAAAATGACAACATGCGCTGAGTTTTAAAAACAACACTTTAGTATGGCTTGAGATGAATAGAAATGTGAGTATATTGTCCTTAGTGAAACAGTGTTTAGCAAAAAAAAAAAAGAGATTAAAGATATATATTTAAGCTTTAAAAAAATACTTTCTTGTAATGACGCGTTACAACGGATGCAAAAGTTGATTATAATTTAAAATTTCGTAAATTACGCAAAAAATTCTGTGCAATATTGTAGAAAGCACTATATGAAACAAGGAAAGTCTGTGCGATAGCGTAGAAAGGCAATCTATAAAGGCAAGGAAAGTCTATGCGATAGTGTAGAAAGGCAATCTATGCGATAGGAACAACGTCCTAATCTTTTTGTCCTCTTCTCTAATTCAAGCTTCAACATACCTCGTTTTGCTATTTCATTATTCGACTCCAGCACACCACATTTTTTTTTTTTTTTTTTTTTTTTTTTTTTTTATTTTTTTTTTTTTTT